CGTGGTTAACGTGACATATTAATTTTTTTAGTGCTACATTGTGTTACGCGTCTCATTAATAGCGTTATTTTTTAAGCAATAATGTCCCTATTCAAAAGCATGAACCAATAAGCAAATACAAATAAATCTTTCACAAGCGTCACATTGTGTTGTGAGTCACATTAATATCGTAATTATTTAAGCAATAATGTCACTTGCAATAGTGTTACCACGCTAAATCCTAAAAAAAAACCGTGGTTAACGTGACATATTAATTTTTTTAGTGCTACATTGTGTTGCGTGCCTCATTAATAGCATTATTTTTAAGCAATAATGTCCCCATTCAAAAGCGTGAACCAATAAGCAAATACAAATAAATCTTTCACAAGCGCCGCATTGTGCTATGATTCACATTAATATCGTAATTATTTAAGCAATAATGTCACTTCCCTACTCTACAGCATAAACAAAAGTAGTTAGCATTTCAACTAAATATTTTTTAAAGTGCTACATTGTGTCGTGAGCTCATTAATTTCATAATTTAGCAATAATATCACTACTCTAAAGCATAAACCAACACAGTTAAGGTTGCAAATAAACCTATAACTGCTGTTTGTGAATGAAATAAAACACAGTTTTCAATTGCTGAAAATTTTTATATTTTAGCATAGAGTAGATAAGACAGGATGTAATTACGCATGGAATATATCAGGTCGGAGTGCCACATTATGGTGAATGTTTCAGGCTCTAACCCCTCAATACGAATTCTGCGTCCGTCATGATTTATTTTACTAGAAATGCCATTTGCTATACAATATTGCTATAGAAATGCCATTGTTATACTGTACGGCATTTTTACCAGATTTGTTTTCTCTGTGTGGGCTCAAAATTACAAGCATACGGGATTGCAGTAGTACGATATTATTTGAACTGAAAAATTACCAAATGTTGGTTTAAATATCGTTTTATTTGGCTCTAATTACCAGAATAATGATTACTTATACCATAAATGCCATTGCTATATAATACGGTATTTTTATTAAAAAATTTTTTCTCTGTCTGGGCTCAAAATTACAAGCATACGGGATTGCAGTACGATATTATTTGAACTGAAGAATTACCAAATGAATGGTTTAAATATCGTTTTATTTGGCTCTAATTACCAGAATAATGATTACTTTTACCATAAATGCCATTGCTATATAATACGGTATTTTGATTAGAATTTTTTTCTCCGTGTGGGCTCAAAATTACAATCATACGGGATTGAACATTGATAGTCGTAAATCTGAAATCTTTTTCTATTAATATCTTAATAAAATGCCTCAGAGATATTCATTTCATATTTAAAATCATCTTTTATTCAAAACTTAAATGATATTTTAACATTTACTTCTATATATTCCATTACATGTTCTCTATGGCACTTACCACATCTCTATCCCAATAAGGATGGCACCACTCTCATATTCCAGGATAGGGATATATGTACGTGCCGAAAGTACCAAAGGGAAAAGAGACGGCCTTTTTCCCTCTGATGTCGGTGAAAGACAGAAATTACAGTTAAGTGAATGAAATGGACGTAAGGGAATAAATAAAATAAGAGAGAAAGAGAGTGCCACGGGAAAGGGATCAATGCTATAGAAATTGAAAGCCTTTTCCTGCACTGAAACTGCTCGTCGGGAAACAGCCTTAAATACAGTCTATTACACCACTAGATTCAATTATCTTTCTAAACTGGAGAAAGTAATCGATTGCTCTTTTCTCTGTGCTGCTGCTTTAAAATACGCCTTCATGGTTGCTGCTTTTTTATTTTTTTACTGCCACACCATTTTCTGCTCACTCATAATTGCAGGCTCGTTTAAAAAAAATGAATATGCGTTAGATTTGCATTTCTGTTTCGAAATTAAAACTATTATCAGTTCATTTTATTTTGGCTGATCATTTTATTTACACCATGATATATTAATCAGATTTCTAAAAAATATTACCAATTAAGATAAAATTATCTCAGATTTATAGAGTAAAAAAATCCAATTATAGGTATATTTACTTTTTAAAAGAAACTAGTTTAACTAGTTGACCAAAATAAATAAGAAATTATCTAAATAAGGTGCAGAAAACGGTTTATATATATACATATATATATATACATATTATTTTCTAACAACAATTATGAAAAATTATGATAAGGACATACATTTATAAAAAAAATTGCAATAATATTTGATATTGACCTTTTCAAATCAAATCAAACTAAGATAACTGAATTCTTTAGTAAAGAAATATGTTTCCCCAATAATTATTTTAAACGTTTATAACAGTTATCTTTTTAATAGCAATATAAAAACAAATATTTATCTAGACTAAATTTATCTCCAAGACAGCAAATTCAACTGTCGAACATAAAACTAGATTTAAGATCATTAATAAAACGATGAAAAAAATGTAATTTATCTTATTAAAAAAGTCTGAAAGTCAAAATAAAGTAGTCTTTTAATGGTTAATATATGGTCAATTGTCTTAATTTGCTTTAATTATGAAATTGGGGCTCCGCCGGAAGAAGCTTCATTATTTTAGAGCTCTGTAGACGAGAGAAATTGGTAACCGCTGGTGTACCCCATATTTATTCGTATATGATATTTTAATTTAATAACTCATCAATCTGAGTTTAATTTTGGTCATCTATTATTCATCCCTATTTTTTATTTTTATAATTTGTGTGGTTTTTAATTTCGCTTATATCATTATATCAAGAAAAAAAATCTTAAAACAAGTTAGGAAAAATATGTATATTGTTTATTAATTTTTTTTTTACTTGGATTTCAAATTAAAATGAATTCGGCCTGATATTGAATGTGCTCCTTCATTCTCATACAATCAAGCATTAAAACTATATTCGTTTTAATATTAGAATTTATATTCACAACGCAACTAGTACTGAAGATAAAAAGAACAAACACTGAAATCTAAACATATCTCGTGAGTAACCTAATTTTCAGTGAATTTCGTGACGTGACTAAATTATTGCAAATTACCATTTTGCAGCTACTTCATTATTTTAAAAGGGTCTAGAAAAAACAAAAGTTTTTTTTCTTTCGGAAAGTGTTTTAATTATTCATTTTAATATATCTAGGATAAAGTTTTGAAACCTTATGCTATGAAATTTATAGGTAAAAATCTTAAAATTTGACAAAATATTAAAGATTTATCATACACCAACATCTAGTATGTATTCGCAAATTAAAAAAAATGAACATCTTGAATAACTTTTGAACTAATAAATGGATTTTACGTACTGGGACTCAATCTTCACGGTTTGTGGGCCTAACGTTAAATATAAGGTTACTTTGTGCAGACTATATTTTAAGTTAAGAAATCAGACCCCAAAACGTATTTTCTCTAAATAAACATATCTCCCCTGTAAATTCGGTTTCTTGACCCTCAAAATGTAGGGGGGGGGGCGAAGAGTAGCCGCAGTCTTAAAAATAGGGTCCCAATAGTTAAGGAGAGCGAACGAAAGTTTGGACCCCATAATTCAACATTAATCCTACTTTTTGCGTACTTTGTCATATCTCTAGAACACTTTAAAAGAATCGAAATATTTTGCACTCAGTTATAAAATTTGTTTATCCAAAAATAATACCATGCACAAATCTAGATTTATGGTAATTTGTGTTTAATATATATAACTAGTTATTTATTATTTTATTTAATAATGGCCAGAAAATTTTTGACTTGTTAAATATACAAAATTTTTATAATTTAAAAAAAAGTGATTTTAAAAGACAAAATTTAAAAAAAAATGAGTGCAATCAGTTGAATACTTTCTGAAATAAATTTCAAATTTTAGGAAAGTCTTTTTTACGAAAGAAAATTTAAAATATTATTTCGCACGAACTATTTACTCGATTTCGTTAATATTTTTTTAGTTTTTCACTTAAAATTACATTCTTCTTTTAAGTGATATAAAAATTAACGTCTTTGCTTATAATCCCCTGGCAACTTTCATATGGGTGAGTGTTATAACTGGTGGCATGGTTAATTTCTATGAATCTAACGGTAATAAAAGCATTTTTTTTTAATTTTTAAGTATGACTTTAACCAATAGGAGATATTACAGATAAAGTTAGCTTCCCCAGTATTGAGCTAATGTGTATGTGATGGAAAGAATGTATCCATACCGTTTCCCATGCTCCATACATCTCCTATTTATTGGCATCTCACAAATGTCTTTTTTTCCAGCATGTGATATGAATGTCCACAAAAAATGCCAAGTGAGTGTACCGAACCTGTGCGGTTGTGACCACACCGAGAGGAGAGGCAGAATTGAACTGAGGGTTGAAGCAGACTCTAACAAACTGATATGTCAAGGTTAGTATTTCAACCTCAATCTATCTGATTCTAAGTCATCAGTCATGGTCTTAACTTGTTTTAGGGATTCAAGTTTGAGGAAAAGAAATATCCCTATCAAAGGGAAAAATATTTCAAAAATTTGAAAGTTCATTATGATTTTATGACCATTATGATTATAAATATGTTCTAATTCCTTTATTTCGTTTCACAATTTTTTAACATTTTAATTAATTTTATATCGGTTTTTTTTTTAAATTTTTAAACAATAGCTGTAACTGAGATAGTTTATTTCATTAAAAATATATATTAGAAGGTGACAAAACACCCAGTTACCTTGAAACATTTATTAAACCTAATTTATTTTATCCCAAAATTTATTTAAATGCTCAATGCTTTCAGAAAATGATTCTAAAATAAGATGCGAGTTGGGGTACAGAATAATCTATTCCTGAGAAGTATGCATAAAAAACAATTACAGCTAGAAATGTTTGGTAATAAAATATCTTAAATAACTTCGCGTATCAATACAATGAAATCATGCCCATTGAATGATGTAGATGCTTGAAACAAATTACAATGCATAACATAAAAAGGAAAATGTTTAGCTGTATCATTATCACTATTATTTATTATGAAACGATTTTACGCCCCAGGAGGAAATTATTACAAGGGTGTCAGCACACCTAACCTCCATCATGCAGTCGGCATCTATACATGGTGTCAATTGTTCATTTATTCTTATTTGCTTATGGGTGTCATTGTCGCTTATTTGTTCCATCTTAAATTTTATATATATATATATAGAAAGTGTTTTAATTATTCATTTTAATATATCTA